AGGACGGCGGAAACGCGGCTTTCACTCGGCGCGTCCCTGTATCTCAAAGGACCTCGGCGATTCGGCCACGTATATGCAACGTATATTAGGAGAAATCTTGTATGGGCGATTAGAGGTCGTTGGGAGCTGCTCTGATATCCTAGTAATTATTTTGTCGTTTAGGCCATCGGACGCGAAATGGGGTAGATAATGACCGCTGATAAACGACTGATATAAATCCTAGAATTCGACCATTGTTAGAAATTTCCTTTGTGTATACGTTCATATTTAGACATATAATAATTTATAGAGGTTGTGCTTTATTAATTATGTTTTTTAGTCTATTTATACTCAACCAATATTTAAAATAATAACCTATATACTTTTAAGGTAGTTGGAGAATTTTATATTTACATTGTCCAGTTTAGCATCATCCTGTAAGTGTAAAGAGGAAACTGACGTATAACAAGTTAAAACCGGACCTCAGCTGGCCTCACATCAGCCTAATGGTGCTATAAAACTAATGCAAAATTTAATTTTTAACGAAACCCTTCAACTGCCCCTTGGTCGTTTGTTATACAAGGACGGCCTCTTTGCATTTACGGCTTGTCGGCCTTATTCGTGATAGTATTTCATGATGCACTATACGGTAGGTATACGGTAAAATTCCCAGAATGCACTTCGACCGTAATGATACCGAACGGACTCATTAATCCGGAATTACTTAAAAATTCACGCCGTTGATGCAGTAACGCGTAATCTCGGCGTCAAGGGTATAGTATTATCGGTTTTGCCTTTTCCTGACTACCTAATTGCACGGCATCTGCTGGTTATGGGTTTGATGTACGCTTTTAAACTGAAATTTTCCTTCCAGAATATCGATTATGCTTTACATAACATCAAAACAGTTTAATGTTTGTTTAATAACGTTACTTCGCTAAGTAGTATGAAATCTAGCTTCGCGAAAAGTAAACAATATTCATGTAGGTACACATTCGAGTACAATATGATACAGCTATTCATACTTATTTTTACAAACATTATTACAAACATTCTGCAAAAGAAGATTAAAGTGAATTTAAAAGAAGGAATTTTTAAGAGACATCCTGTTACAGGCGATACAAAATTTTTGTGTCACGTTAACAAAAAGTTATAGCAAAATAAAAGATATCTGTGAAAACCGCATTTTTTATGATCAGGCGTTTAAAAATAAGCTCATGACTAAAGGGGCTACTTTTTATTGAGACACCCTGTATTATACAGCAATTTATACTTATTTTTACAAGTATTAATATTATTTTCTAAATTTAAAGTACTCTGTACTATATGACTCATTAGGGAAACGTTTCGGTAATATTCCGTTGAAATTTATTGTTCAAATAATTAGCGAATTCAACCCTTTTTACGGTCTTAATAAAATGTTTTATATTTAGTATCGAAGATCCAATAAAGCGAATAATACCAGATAGAATAAGATTAAGTGCGATTTTACGCCCTTTTCTAAAACTCGCTTTAATTATTTACATTCCGTTTTCCCCGCTTTACGAGCGAAACCTTCTACATTTAATCCGTTCCGCCTTCTTCACTTTTATCATTTTTAACAACGGCCAATTTTATTACACGACGCTCAACGTTTCGTAATTAATCGCTATAATGTGAATTATAAGTGCTAAGTATCAATTAATGTCCGAATTGGATCGGATCCTCTGCGGATTTTTCGCCAGCGAGACGAAACAATTTTTACGAACGTGAGCCGAGTCGCGATTAAAAGAAATCCGTCGTTAAGGAGAACAATCTGTTAATCAACGCGGTGGCCGTTTGTTCCGACGTTACATTAATCCCAGTTGTAGGAGAAATGGAAGACCACTCAGAGAATTGGAGAATAAAAAAAGTAAAAGGTACGAGAACAGTGGGCTGTGTCAGGTGTTTGAAGGACACGTTTTGATGCAGGTATTTTGTAAATGTAGACAATGGGGAGTTATAGACAATCAATGCAGTATAGTGAGGGTATTATTCAAGTGAATTCCAAGATATTTTATACTAGAGGCTTGTGGTACGGTACACTTGAGAATTATCTAAAATTAAAATACATAATCGATCGCTCCAATTAGCAACATCAATTTTTTATGCAAAATTCATTTACAGCGAATTTAATAAATTCGATCGTTAATAAAAAAAGTAAGTTAAAGATGATTGATTCCAGCCGAAGAAGCGTTATCGTTGATTAATCCAATTTATTAGGGTCAAATTATCCCGTTCGTAAATTTCCACTTCGATTATCGATTTACATGGAGAAATTTTTTTATAGAACATCAGAAGAACGCGCTCTTCAACTGGGCCCTTGCGTCACGAACTTCTGAAATTTCTCATCGAACATTCGGAATGCTCCGTGGCCCGTGGCCGATCGGCCCGACTCCCTTTTGTTGCGATCACACAAATTAATTAAGAGGGTTGTTCTATAGATATCTAACGATGTCTATAGTCCACCTCTCTGCGTCTCTAGCGCCCCTAATTTTTCGGATTAATCGATGTTGCTGGAACTAGTTAAGCAAAACAATCTCTGCACTCCACAAGTCCCTGCCCGATCCCTTTATATATACCTACGGATACCCGCCCTGGGTGTTAAACTCCCAAGTGATGTATAGAAACATTTATAGCATTTTACATACACGTCTAGAATGGTTGAATGGAAACGATAAAGTTGATAAATAAGTTACAACCGGAGGAAAATCCGCTTTTCCGGTGGGGGACATTTCCTAACGTATCCTCGTAACGAATTAAAGGAAGCGAAGAAACGACCGACCTCCGGCACTGTTTCGTCCCCGTTTTATTTTGAAAATGAATTACGGGAATTCCTGCAGAAAGCGGCCTGATTAAACTGAACTCTTCAACAGTATAGCAAGGATGAAAACCCGAAGACATTCATTCTCAATTACGCGCACAATTATAGTTACATTTGAAATTTATATATATCCGGAGCATTCCCATCTTTTCCTCGAGGATCCTACAAAAGGGGAAGATTTCCTGGCAGTTTTCGACCCGCTTAGGCGGCCGTAAAAAGCGTACGCGGCGGTGAGTGATGCCGCTCAGAAATGAGCCAATTAATTCTAACTCGAAATCGCAGCAGAGAAATCTAATTTAGCTACCTGAACGTTGAATAGTTGACAGGTGGGCTTTTAATTAAGAAGCAGCAAGTAAAGAAATCGGGTTTTAGTTTTTTATCCTGCACATTTTTTTAGCTTTAAATTTTTCGTTTTTCAGTAGGTATTCCGCTCGTTGAATTTATTTTTCTGCCGATTAATGACCGCGTCCTTAGGCTGTTATTCTTGTATTTTTCCTCCTTTAAATAATTGGTATAAAGTATCTAACTAAAGTAAAATAATGCAAATTTGAAAAAATGGCGGATGATCAATGATGTATCACCATTTTTTAAATTCCTAAATTAAGGATATCTCTATCGTGCAGATTTGAACAAATAGGCTGAACAAATATTGTAAAAACTAACAGTTGCAGAAAGTTTCTATCCCACTATGTCGCTTTGAACAGGCTAGATTTTCCTCTATTTCGCGAAAAGTTCTAAAATTGAGTATGATCTGTATTTTTCATTTCATGAAAACAACATTTTAAAACAACAACACTCACTTCGTTTGAATTATACAGGGTGTAACAAAAATGGGTGTGTCATAAATTATACCACAAAATCTGGGGTCAAAATTAGGTCGATTGGATCCTATTTACCTATATCCAATATGGGGTTTACAAAACATGTTATAGTCTGTTAAAAAGTACAAACTGAACATCAAATTTAATCCTCATGAAATTTGGCACGTATTATTTTTATAAAAAGAGCATGTAATAAAAAAAATAAGAAAATCGGACCCACCATTAAGTTTTTAGGGGTGTCACGTACATTTAATCCCTCCTATTTTTTGTGTAGGTACTTTAGATTTTGGTTACTTTTTTATGTTCTCTATGTTTAAGAAATTTATATTAAACATTTTTACCTCATATTTTTTCTTGAAAAATTTGTATCATTCTTTGTTGTATCTTTTTACTATTGTGCTAATAAACAGACAATATTGCCTATAAATTTGCACTTTTTTACAAAGTTCAAACATTTTCATACACAATTAATTACACGTATACTTACCAAGCTAAAAGAATAAAAGATTGTAGCATTTGGAGATTTACAATGGGTGAATTTATAGTGTCAGTGCAATGTGGACCTATTTCACAGTAACAGTCCAATTAAATTTTATGACGGATTTCCGATTTATGTGCCGTTAAAAGAGGAAACAAAGCGCTTCGAAAGGACCGAATGCGCTTTTCGTTTCGTTTTAGCGTCGCGTCGTCTGAAACTTGAAAGTGCGCCACTTTTATAACGCTAATTACCGACAACTCCGTATTGGAAACACAAAAAGGACGTTTCTATTGTTAGCCCTGTCGGCTTTTGTTTCGTACGAAGTGAAATTCAGATGTCACGACATCGCTCGTTTTTGTCATATCACGATCGTGATTTTTTTTACATTTGCTCAAGCCGTGCGGACGCCGCCGGCTGGCCGGTCGGCTGCGAGGACTGGTTAAAAATAGAAAGACTTTTTTTTGTTCCGTACGCGAGTAAGTATAAAAAATTCAATACGTAAACATGTCGAGAAATTGTTGTAATGTACGATTCAAAATAACCAGGTATTGATTATAAGATATACAGGGTACCCTGTATAGTACATATACAGGGTGTCACAAAATAGTTGGGGACATGGCTTAAACTACAGACTTTAAGTTACAAGGTGTTAAAGTTAAAAATACAAAAACCCAAGGTGTTACAACCTTCTTGCTACACACTGATGTGTAGAGAACTAATTAGCAAGAAAAATACGTAAGTGGGGAATACGATTTTTGTAAAAAAAACCAAAATCTGCGTAGGATGGTACAAATTGGACAATTACCCATATCAAAGTGAAATACACGGTTTTTTAGTAGACAATTTACAATAAAAATAAATGGCAAGCGTACGGACTTACGTTTTTTCCGGATCGTATTGCGGATTCTCGGCGGGATCTCTGACGCGAAGATTTTTCCTGATATCACTGGTATTATTTACTGATCTGCTGTGCGATAACGCTCCCGGTAATAGCATGGCGATTTCTGAAACAAACAGGATTTTCTTTGTAGTTGCTACATGAAATTGCGAATATTACAATGTATAAGGAAAAGGAAAAATTCCCTCCTCACTGTTATCTAGAAAATATACAAACTTTGTCTACAAACGCTTAAATTTCAATGCATAATTCTCTCAGCAGTGTGTTTATTAAAAATTTAATAAAAATGTAAGCATTAAAAAACCGAAAGCTATACCCAAAGAACGATTTTTATTTTTTAGGTTTAATGGTAACCTGATAATCCACGGCATAGCCGGTGTGTTGACAGCAAAGGTGATTAACGCGAGGGTTTAAATTTTAAATACATTTAGAAATTTGATACCATGCAGAAAAAGACAAAAGAGGATTATTCCGGTCTGGCGTTCTATTCTCGGATCTTGACGAGTGTGTGCACCCGTACGTTTTCATGCAACTACAAAAATGTGGCTTGCAGGTTTTCAAGACAATCTACAAGCATTGTGAAGTAAATAATCTTTGTTTTGAACATACGGGTGGTTTAAACACACATACTCGTCACTAATAATTTATTTATAGATACAATGAAAAGTGACCATTTCATATGGTATTGTGTGTAACAAATTATCTTTACTTTAGCCTCTAGCTGGCTTCGTAAGCTCGAAGTCTACCGCACAAAACACCAAACTTATTTTCATCCGAAAATAAAAAAACTTGGAATCTCCTGAGTGTAAATGAATAGAGAAAACACCGTTTATCCATTCTCCACGAGGTAGATGAAGGTAAATATTAATTTGAACGAGACAGGCGCATATATCACAACAAAAGTAAAACGACTTTCCCCCCGAGTTTCTTGTAGACCGAGACAAATGACACCTTTCGCAAGGTAAAACTCAATTCTAATACAATGTCTTACAGGAGTTATCGCGGCGGAAGCTTTTATTACTTTTCATCAAAACGGAGTGCTCCGGTTTTACATGTTGCAACGCGTAATTTCTAAAACCTTAAGTTAAACGGATGATGACAAGTTGTAAAGTCGATAACGAGAACTTGGTCGTTTCGGAAAATTAAAAGCCCCGACGATGGTGTAAAACTACTTCTTCCGTTATTATTACACAAGCAGTTAAAGTTGCAGGAAATAGGTGCTGATAAATAAGATAAGTTTTGTGATAAAATAAGCGAGATTTAGTCTGGATAATAATCAAATAGTATTTGATATACAAAATGACTAAATTAACGGACTAATTATTGTCTAATAATATGTTAAATATAGTTAAATATAAAATAACTTTTTTAATAATTCTTCATCGAAATATTTATCAACTTCATTAATTCATCTCATTTTCACCTTTCGCCAAACGAACACGCTACAAAACTGGCAACATTTGCACGACAAAATGACCCAATGAAGAGAAGAGAAAATTTAATTTGTCGGACATTACCCTTGTCAGGTATGGATATTTCGAATAAATTATTATTTTGTTGACATGTTATTTGACCCTAATCAAATTTATATCGGGGTTTCGATATTGTGTCTAACTTTCGGGGGTGGTCGAGACCCTTTCGGCTAACAACGCACGTCTGGGTTGTGATAAAGTGGATTCGAATGAATTACATTATTATTCAACTATAAAAAAAATATGTAGATATTGCAGTTCAAAGGGACGTGTTGGACTCGCTAAATAATAAAGCGGACGTGTCGAGCTCGAGAGGCTAGCAAAACTATTTTATTTTAATTCAATTTATCTATATGTTAGCATAAATCAATCGAATGCAATCTCGGCCATTAGCCCGCCGGCTAATCCTGCCCCCGAAGGCAATATCTTCGGCGGACGACCAATTTAGATTCCAGCAGATACGTAATAGTCCCGTATAATCGTCAATGAATTACATCAGACTTACTCGCCACAGGTAAGGCATCTATCACTGATACGAAACCGAGCGGGGAATCGCGGGATTTCTCCGCTTCTTTACCGGACCAGACCCTCTCAAATCTCCCGTATCTTAACCCCTTTTGGTCTGGAAACGTATAGAGAAATCGTACACACACATTCGCTCCCACAAACGAAAACACCGGATCTAGACATTCGATCATTAAAATGTATGAGGGAACCACCGCATCGCCGGTATTTTTATGGATCTGTTATTTCCACATATGGCATTTTATTTTATTTTTTCGTACCTATACACTGGGTTTTATGTGCAGAGGTTGAGAATTGCTTGATACTATACCACGTTTGGGGTTAAGGATGATTCACTGAATTTAATCAAAACAGATTGCTCTATTTCCCCATTAAATATCTAGATGTGTCTATTAAAGATAGAGTATCTATAGGACTATTTATTTATAAGGTATTTGCATTTCCACTGATGCATTTATTACATACACAAGTAATGTGTATTCATTTTTTTATTAGAAACATCAATGTTTTGGTTGTATTTATATTATATTTCTAAACAAAAATCAAAATCCGTTATTTGCTGAAAATTTATGATAATTCGCAAGCCCAAAACACCTACCGTATTTCAATCAAATTAAACGCCCTTAATTTAAATGTAAATATATTCCTAATCCAATTTATTTAAATATTTATTAATTCCGGATTTCCCTCGCTCGTATAATATATATACGGAATTAAAATCCGCTTCGACCACTTTTAAAAAAACAATTCCGAAAATCTTCTTCGCCCGTTCGAAAAACTTTTTCTTCCCACAAGGGAGGACACGCATAAAAAATTACACTCCCTATCTATGTTTATTAAAGCGAAACCGGGGTAGTTTTGAAGTGGATAAAAGGTCCCCGATAACCACGACGTCTCTGCCGAAATATTCCATTTCTACGCAAATGTACTTGAAAGTTTGTTTGAAAGTTGACAATCGGAAATTCGTTGTTTTGACTAATACCCTACCCTTATATTGGATGGGAATCCACGGTGGAGAAACAGAAGATCATCGAAGCATCGACGACCGTTTTAAGGAAATTTCTGTATTGCGGGAATGATCCGAGTGAGCCGGGATTGAAATGATGGATGCCCAAGTGGACCCGACACCGGCATATTGGTTTTAGTTGTTATTCATATATTATAGTACCTACCTACAAACTTCTGTATACTAAACCACTTAACTAGATAGAGTCTCAGCATATTTAATTCGAATTCATTATAAAATATACTAAACTAAACAATGTAGATAAATACCTTTGTATGTATGTACGTACAAACATTACCTACAATATTGCATTCTATGCACTTACATACTTAGGTAAGTACGTATAATACATTGATTTTTTCCTTTTTTTGCATTGACCTAATAACTATCGTGGAGACATTCCATTATAAGGATGACAATGTTACGGTTCAATTTTCTTTTTCTTTTTGTAACTTTTCTTCTTACTTGGTAATATGAAACTCATTTCTTAGAAGGATAAAATACTATGAGCGATTTTAAAATAACTTTAAGGCTGCTGTTAGAGGGAACGTTTTCAGATCGAGTTACTCGTGAGTTCGTTGTTGCTCTAAAATAATATCTTAATTGCATATTTTACATATTATGTATAAGCACCTATTGGTTCATTAGAGAGTTATTCAAGAATCCGAATTGTTCTCCTATTTTTTATCAAATTAAATTTCACGTATATCATGCATCGCATTTACATACATATATAAGTTTAATTTTTAAAATCTATTTACTACATGTAATAACAAACAATAGCTAGTCGAGGACTCAACTTATTTTTCTATTCTGAATGGTAGGCATGTATGTATTCAACGAAACTACTATTTTTGTTTCATCGGTATTTACAATCGCGTTAAATTTGGAATGAAAACACAAAACAGATTCCCACACGGTCAATGCTTTTAAAAATACGCGCATTGCTCTCTAAAAAATGACCATGTGAACTTGTTGGTGAATGTTCCGGCATTGAAATTGACATATTTCGGGGGTAATATTTTGATTTTTTTGTAGAAACGCGACAGATATTCATTCATTTATTAAATTTAGGAAAAGTTTGTGTGAAGTCTATAGAAGAGAAAGAATTAATCAAAAAGCAATGTAATATTGATACTGAGTGATTTTCTTGATTTTTTCCTCAGCTATCTCAGCTATCCTCAGCTTCATTTCTTCATATTAGGTTTAATTGTTGTTCTTAAATTAAGTAAAAATATATCATGTTTTTTATTTTATTCTGAACATGTTGGCTCATTATAGAAGCAGTAACAATAAAATATAAAAAATTAATATGTAAAAAATTTTACTTAGCAGTAAATAACAAAATTCAAAAAATAATTAAAGTAATCACTAGAATGTCTAGATATAGTCATTTATCATTCATGAATAGCATTCCACGGCTCTTCTTCAAAAACACCGGATACAATAAAAAGGGTACCGCTTAAAATGTAAAATACACCCCCTGAGTAAAAATAGCGACTCCATTCCTTTAGCCCATTGTTATTCCTGATAAAGAACGCCTGCAGCATGGGCACCAAAATCCCGGTAATTCCACCGAAGAAACTAATAAAACCGAACAAGGTTCCGGCGAAATTCGGCGCCAGATCCTGCACGTTTACCAAATTTGTCATGACGCAAGTACCATTTATGCCCAAACCGACTAATATGAAGATCACTGCGACGACGTTACAATAACTTATGGCAAATCCGATGGTCATTAAACCAGGAAGGATGTGCGAGAAAATGGTAAACACCCTTCGCAGACCCTTAACCGTCGCAAAGCCCTTTACAGCCATCCAATCGGCTATGGAAGCGCTCACAATAGCCACGATGATCCGAAACAAATGTGGGAACACGCCGATGGGTCCCGATAAGGTGTTTAAATTGTATCCAATCACTTCCGCCATGTACTTCGGTAAGCTGGTTATCTCTATGTAGAAACCGTACAAGCAGCCCATGTGGCATATGGTCAGTATCCAAAACGATCGACTGCTAATTATGCTTAAGTAAGGAGCCCACTGCTTTTTTCGCGACACGCTATTCATTTGACTTGACTTGATGTAGGCGACCTCATCGGAGGAAACCAAGCGATTCTGTTCCGGCAGATCGCTGCAAAGGAACCAGAATACCAAACAGTACAATAATAATTGGAACGAGACGATGTAGAAACCCCAACTCCAACCGAAATTAACCGTCAACGCCGATATGATCGGCCAATTGGTTACAACAGCCAGTCCATTGCCCATCATTGCCGATGTAAACCGGCATCTTTCTAGTGGCGGCGACCATTTCGCTATCAATATGTGAAAAGAGGGGAACATAAAAGTACCTAGCACTCCGATCATGAATCTTATGATGATGAATAAATTATGGTGTAAATATGCAGCCGGTACGCATAGAGCGTTCAAAACGGCCGAGATCAGGGAGAACCAGAAAATGACTTTGAACGGGCCGATTCTCTCGGCTATTGCACCGCTCGGCAAAGAGCCCACCAAATATCCCCAAAAGTAGCTGTTCAACGAGTGGCCGATGATCAATTGGCTCCAATCGAAGCGGGTACCATAGTTGGGGAGGTTGACTTCTTCTTTTGTATTACTCTCGTTCGATTTTGATAGCAAACACTCCGGTACGGCATCAAAATTAGGTGCTGCTATTGGTTTCGTCATCGCTTGTATGCTCAACACTACGTTCACTCTTAGCGCGAAGTTTGTGTACGCTCCGAAAAATATCATCACTGCTATCCAGAATCTGTACGGTAATTTTTTCATCGTTCATTGGGAAAAACAACACAAGTGAAAGTTATAAAATTATATCAATTTTTGGCAAGACTGTTACAAATTTGACGTTAGGGATAAAAGAGAGTCTGCCAACCACAAAAATTATACGTATGTACATGCGAATGTATGTACTGTCCTGAACCAGAAAGGAATTTAGACGTTTGGTTGGGAAAGTTACTTAAGAAAGAAGAAAGAGAATTAGGGCGAATGAAGGAAAGTTACTTGGTGAGATTTATTAGAATATCAAAGAAGAGAACACAGAAAGAAAAGAAGCAAAATTTGTGTTTAACTTTTGTTCGAATTAAAATAAAATAACCAACTTATTTAGAACATAAAATGTATACTGAGCGAGGTTGAGCGAGGATCCGGCTGTAGCAAACTGTCCTGCGGCGAAGCCGCCACCATAAGAAAGGAAGGTCGAAAGGGGGAGCAGCCCCCATTCCGAGTTGATAAGCGAGTCAACTTATAAAACCGAGTTAATCAAGAATTAATCAGAAATGTAAAAGAACAAAAATATTAGTACAACATACATAAAATAGGTATGTACAGAAATATACACATACAGGATGTTCCATCTTAGACGAGCCACCTCGTACGTGTCTTATCCATAGACTTACTAACCTTATTAATAGGTCTACGGTCTTATCCCATAGTGATTGGAAAAATTTCTCGAAACACGTCGAATTTGATTTTGTTTGGGGGACATATTTTGGCGTTTTTTTTTAAGTTTGTAAAAAGGGCTTAATAAAAATGGGCTTGTATATTGCAAAAATAACTAAAATATTTTGGTGAAAACGGTTCATCAATATTACGTTTTTCATACACCGTTATAAAGAGGCTGCCAAGACCTTTCAAATGAAGTATCACTTAACCCCTCTCCCCCATTCAATTTTTAAGGGTTAAAGCGCCCCCTCTTAAGGGGTTGCTCGTTCAAGTTTCAAAAAACGTCAAAAGATGTCCCCCAAACAAAATCATTGGACGTGCTTCGGGAAATTTTTCCAATCACTATGGGATAAGAAATATAAAAACTGGCTCGTCTGAGATGGAACCCCTGTATGTATGTAGGTAAGTAATTCTACTTTTTATTTTCAAATCTTTATAATCCACCTACAATATTCATTAATCCACAAAACGTACTGTACAATTTGACATAATTCCAGTCGACTTAATTCGATTCATCCGATGTGTCTGCTAACGAACGATATAAATTCGTCTTCACTGTGTGTTAACGCGTCCTTTAACTAACACCACATAATTATCGCCTCTAAAACAAAGCTTCATCTACACACACAAGATCGACTCGACTAAGTCTAAAGTAATAAATAGTTGGAGGAATTCTCCATTTTGTAGTTAATTCAAACGTTAGAATTTTTATATTGAAAGTATATTTTAAAATATCTCTCTCTCTCGTACAAAAAGCTATTTTTCGTATTATTTCGTATTTGTTTTATATTAAAATATGGCGTACTTACGATCGAGTAACGATTTCATTAAAGTTAACTAAGCGTTTTAATTTAATTATAAAGTAGGTAGCATAAAGCCTCCGTTATTTCTTTTTTGATTTCAATTAAATTTAGAACGGTTTAATTCACTTCCACTAATTAGATTTTCATTTTGGTGTTTCAGAGAATAGTTCGTTCAATTTTCCTTCGCCATTTTCTTCGTTTCTGAGTTTATTTGTTTTGCGAATTTCACTTTCAACTTCTTAAATTTCTATTATTCAAACGAACGGTCGCGATTTTGGATTGGTGTTGTTTTAATATTGTAAACAAGTTGAAAAACTAAATGAGAATTTAATATGATCAATCTCGTTAGGGCGTAATATTTGCTGTATAGAATAATTAACGTTATTGAACCGTTATAATAACTATTTTTTGTTGACTGAATATTGAATTGATTGATCGAAATAAAAATTAATCAAACGATGTTATAAATCCACCACAACGGTGCAGGCCAATAAATGAGCTGAATAAATTAATTGTTTTTGCTGCTAGATACAATATTATGCCTAATTAATATTTCATGTTCGTGTAGCTGCATATTTTAAGCAATTGATACCGGTCCATCATTTGCCAGAATGTATTACTGAGCCGCATGATTAATTGCCGTATTGAATTTTATTTGCTTTGTTAATTTAGTTTTTGGATCACCCGTTGATGAATGCATTCAATTGCAAAATAAAAATATTGATTGAAATAAAACCGCTTGATTTATTTCTATTTTTTTTACTTAATAAACTACTAACTGGGTAACGAGAGAGTCGGATTGTGTTTTTTGTTGTTTATGTATCTACACAATTTTCTATTTGTGCAGAGTACAAATGTGATATTCTTCCTTTTAATCTCCAATTTTTATTGGTGATTGGCTCCGTTTGAAGTTGACACTCGAGTTCTTAGCAAGAGCAATATCAACTGATACAGCACCAGTCCGAGAATCGTCGATTTTTATAAAGCTTTCAAACGTTCCCCATTTATTATTTTCGAAAGCAGGAAGTTCGGAAGTAGTTTTAGTTATTTGTTTTTCATTTTTATTTTTGTCCGCGAGAACCGCCCGAGGTTTTATTTCCAGCTTAGGAGTGTGTGAAATTCGGCGAATGCTTTTGACAGTTTCCGAGCTTTTCCTGCAAATACTTTTATTTTCTCCCATTCGATTATCCACATGGATTTTTTTAATACTTTAATGTTGATCCAGATTCGTTCGAACTGTTTATGTCTTGTTGATGGTAAACATATAGGTTTTTGTTCACTCTTTAAACTAAATAAAATGTATGTAATATTTTAATAGATCCACCCATTAATTATTGATACAATAGGTAGGTAAACTATTTTAAAATATAAAATGGTATACTTTTAAAAATCTAATTGCCTAATAACAGAGACTAATTACCAAAAATTATTACCAAGAAAAACACGTGCACGGAAACTGATACTGCTCTGGGGATACTTCAGTCGACTACGTTTGTTATTCTATTGTGGGAACTGCAGGAAGGTATGCCATAACTCACGCGTATATTCCAAATTCAACACCCTTTTCCACAATATCCACGCAGGAACTAAATCAACTGGCGCCTTTAAAAATATACTTCTTTGCGTTGGCGTTTCTTTTTTAGTATAGAGCTTTCGTTAATTTCGTTTCGTAATCTAGATATAATCGGAGGTGTGATGGCGTGTAAAAGGATTACTTTTCTCGCAAAAATTTCCTCGTAATTGCATCGTAAACTGATAATCGTTCAATTAACTTCCAAAACGTGTGCATGTACCGAGTCGAATTTAGTGCATTAACGTCATGCTCGAATATGAATTCGCCGAATAAATCCAATTTAAATTTACTCTAATGGATTTTGGTCTATTATTCTCTATAGAATTCGTATAATATCGTTAATGTTCTCGTACTACTTGATGCGCGTCCTCTTCAATTTTCCATTCGTTCCGGTTTTGAGTCGCTTAGCTGGCACACCAACGTCGTGCTATATTTGGTTCGATGCGAGCCAACCAGTAGAGTTTTCATTAGACAAAAGTAGAGCGAACTGGTCTTTGTACCGCTGCTCTCCTCTGCATTAATGATCGTATTGTAACTAAGGTATCCGGCGTTCTTGCCATAATTCAACTAGTCTCTAGGAAATTAGTTGGAGACATCATTGATCCTAATATATAGATGGATCCTGCGGACGTGAATCAAAGAATATAAGAAAATGGTAGAGAAATGAAGCAATAGTTTTTCGACTCTAGACCAAAGACTAATGTCCAGTTATAATACGTTTATGCAGGTTTGTAAATTAGAACATATTTTCTGGTAAACTAATAGTATACAGTAGGTGCAAAACAAATATCAATGCACGTCACCTATAATTTACTACGTCTAAAGTGTTGCAGGCAGTGTTGCCAAACTTTTATAGAGTTTACAAAAACTAAGAATTTTATAAAATTGTCAAATCGCAAAGTGTCTAGAACAAATTGAAAATTAGGGGTACCTGTTTCACGTTTCTAAACGGCGGACGTATTTAGGGGCTGACTATAATTAATCCTCAAATTCTTTTATCATCTGAAATATATTTAACAGTGCGAGTAAAAAATTTAGTGTACAATTGAGCGTTATAGCGAATCTGAATTATTTAGAGCTCAAATTGTGTCATTTCTAACACGTGGAAAAGATAAACGCAAAAAATTGTTATTTCTTGATGATTCGGATGATCGGATGACAACGGCAACTATTTTCTATGCAAACGTTTTGAAATTTTAACAATATATATTTTTTGGATGATTTAATTCTGCTTTTTAACATTTTCTATCATCCCTTGGTAATATTAAATTAAATTCAGCAGATATTAAGCTAAATCTATTTTGTTTATTTATTTTTAAAAGTTGGTCACAATGCTTGGCAAGTATAACGACAGTAGTGACGTGCATTGATATTTATTTTGCACCGACTATATCAGTTTTAGCGCCTATTCTCCAATCAGAAATCATTAACTAATGGCGATGAAAAACCCTTCTGTTTTTTGCTCGCTTTTCCGCCAAAACAAACGGCGTCGATTTATTTCCTAACAGCGTAGGTACCTGGCTCCGTTCGGTAAAAAAAAATCCGTTCGTTCGAAATCTGAATACGTCACGTTCGGCGTGTAGAACGTAGAACCTTAGGGGTTGGAAAAGCATTTATCAAAGCATCGTTTCGGTGATAACGCGTCGAAGCTATACGCGATCTCTCTATTCTGTTTCGATTTCGGAGGGCGTTTTGTTTTTTAGAATTATTCGATCGGATTTTTACCCCGTTCGACGGTTTCTATAATTCAACGGTGAATAGATGATTTATTCGCCGCACCCAAGGAAAGGCGATCGTGAATTTCCGATGGTTGTTTTACGTGCGCGCGAAGAGGAATAATATCGTCGAATTTACGCGTTAACTTTCAGATTAAAAATTGGCTAGTACCTGCAGCTGTATATTTCAACTTGTTTCGCAATTAAATATTTACCTACCACGTGAAAGGTCAACAAAATACGGTATTAAACTCTTCAAAATAGACATTTAAAATCCAT